CCGGGGACAGCGCCGCGCCCGCAGACTGCATCACGCCCGACACCAGCAGCTCCATCGCCTGCGCACACCCCACATGCCAGCACTGCTTCAACAACCCCACTTACAACTAATACTTAATTACTTCTAAGTAAGATGAACATATTATATCTACTAAGATGGAATAGAGCTAAGTCTGAAGAATTTATAACAAAAAACCTTTTAATGGAATAATGTAGACTAAATGAATATTAACATTTAATATTTTTAATTTAACATATTGAAAAAAAAACTTGACAATTGAAAAACAACGATTAAACTTTGCACGGTTATTTTAAGTGTTTTGTAAAATCATCTGGGGACACACTGATATCAAAGTAGGTTCATTGTGGAGTACCGAGGTATGTACTCACGTATGGGTTGAGCGGCATCCAGTTGGGAACGCGGCGGCAGAGGTCTCGCATCACGCGGATGATGATGACGCAGGACTGCAGACTGGCCGCCCTAGCCTGCGCACACGCGCCGCGCACACACCGTCACTCACCGCCCGCACACGGACTCTCTCACCCAGCGCAATACACGACACTCGCTAATCCGGCCACTACTACAGCTAAAACAGCTTTTTACATATCAAATTATCCGGATTTCGTCAATATTTTATTTTAAAGGGTTAAGAGAGTCCGTGGTCGGGCATACGTAAGATAAACATGAGAAATGCACGTGTTATCATCTCCGTTGGATCAGACTACGCTCAAACTGCGTTTCCTCGTATCTCGTGAGCGACTCCCAGAGGCCATGTCAAAGTGCGAATGGAAACGCAGCTTTGTCGACAAGCACTTTGTAGCCACATGTTCATGGGAGCACAAATCTCATATTATTTATATTTATTTCAAACAAATTAAAATCTACATTAAATTAAGTAAAACAAAAAAACATGTGACTAAAATAAACGTGCGCACTCCCTCTAAAGATTAATATTTCTTTCTAGAAATGATTTTAGAACTAACATTTATCATAAAATAAAGTAATCGTAGTACAAAAGATCATGAAGAGCACAGCCGCGGCAACAGACAGCTCAGTGACGGTCACCGCGATGTTTCAAGACTTGAACAGCAAGTTAGTCAAGTTACAACGGTACTAGTGATGAAGGTACAAGGTACAAGGTATGAAGCAGTTTGAGGAGTGCGCAGACGTGTTGTAATGTGGCGAATGTACCTGGAACCACTTGGCGTGCCGAAGGGCGGCCAACGCGTCCAAACACTTCTGCCGCGGTAGCACGTCCTTGTCGTCGCGCTTTACGTCGCCACCCTCTAGCGACAACAACACCAAGGGTGTTTGACCATCGACACGCCCGCCGACACGGCGCAAACATCCGCCTTACTACGCATATTCTACTCTACGCATTACTACAATATCTACACTCATATAAATATTCAAATTATATCAATTACAGATTATTCTATCAATAATAATAAATATATCTATATATAAGTATGAATAGGACGAGCGAGGGGAATGTTTGCTCCGTTTCGGTGGACATTGACATATCACGGCGGGGCGCGTGATATATCTCGAGGGATGATCAAAAATCCTTATCTTCTCGCTGCTTACTCTACATCACACCTAAAAATAAGCCAACACACACAGTGCCCGGCGCGGCCGCACCCGGCGTCAGTATTGAACAAATTA